GTTTTGGTGGGGGCTGCGGCTCCCAGCAGAGCCGTTCCAGCCAACATTTTGTTCCCCCTCCCGCCATCCGATTTACCGGCCGCCTTCCCGATCCAGGGTGCTCGGCAGGGCCGTGGCCACACATTCCGCGGGCTCTGCAGCTCCCAAAGCTCCTCCGGCCGTGGGATCGGGAGCGGTTCCGCCAGCTGGGCTGCGCGCACCGAGCGCTGCAAAATCAGGGCCCAATTCGCCACCCGCTTCGCCCCCGCGGGCAGCTGCAAAGCCCGTGCAAGCACCACGGCCTCGCACAAGAACGAATCTTCCTTGCACAATAGAGCCCAAATCGGATTCTCGCTACAGAACTGTGTTATTATAACATTCCTCTGGGGTTTGGCTTAATCCTCACCTGTGGCCTTTTAATAGTTTTCGAAAAAAAAAAAAAAGGGAATTCAAAGACCAAAAAGCGTATGTTGAGGCAGAATTGAAGTTCCAAGTACACATCTCTGACCCAAGGGAAAATATGCTACAAGACACAAGATTTTCTCGAATTACAAGTGTCACAAAGCCTAGGACACAGAGGGGTGAGTGACACTCGGGCCAGCCAAATGTGCCCAGTGAGGGCACACGACAACCCTAGCGTCACCTCGGAGAGCCACACCGTGACAACAGCGAAACCCAAACCACAGCGTCTTCCCGCTTGTGACACCGGATTTGATTCCGTTGTTTCTCAAAGCCTGTCCCTCCACCTGTCCCTATCCCTGCAGCATGGAGTGAAGGCCCTTGGATCAGCTCAGCAAGATGCTCCCAAGCTAGAGCAAACCCAGCGCAGAGCCTAGACGTGGAACTCCCGGGTTTCCAACGCCTCATTTGGGATGATTACCAGAGCCCCGCAACGCATCCTACCCTCGTTGTGCTGCTCTGTGCTTTCTGCTGTGACTTCATGTTAACATAACATTTAGTATGGGAATTTAGCCTTAATTTAATATTGACAGAGTGCCACGAGAAGCAGCGCTCGGGCTCTTTGCGGAGGGCCGCGGCGCGCGCCTCGCATCGCTGCCTCCGCACGCTCCCCTGCTCTTCCCGAGGGCTTCGGAGAAAGCCACGGAAGAGGTGCCAGAGGCCGCCGCATCCCGGGAAGCGATTCCCTCGCATCCCACGGGCGGCGGGAGCGCAATTTCCCCCCGGCTTCGGCCGCCCACGGGCTCCCTCCCTGTTTTTAGCCGGCGG